TGCAGCCACCGGCAGGGGCTGCGGTCCCCAGGACAAACCTGAGAAGCTGAGACTGACAGGAGCCCTGTGGCTGTAGGAAGTGACCCAGGACCTCCCAGGTGCCCTCCTGAGTTTCCTCGGACAGAGGCTCTGACACTCTAAGCTCTTTCCAGGCTGAGGCGCACAGCACAGGCAATCTTCCCGAAGGACAGCACGGCTTCACACTACCCTGAAAGCCCCAAAGGGCTCAAGGCCCATTTGAAGATCCTCCCTGGCAGACTGAGGCCTTGTGGGCTTTGAATTCATTATGTGGAAAGAAGGCATCCGGCTGGTGTGGCTCAGTGGCTGAGGCTGACCTCTGAACCAGGAGGTCACCGTTCCATTCCTGGTCAGGGCACATGCTTGAGTTTCAGGCTCGATTCCCAGTAGGGGGCGTGCAGGAGGCAGCCCATTGATGAGTCTCTCTCATTACTGGTGTTTTTATCTCTCTCTCCCTCTCCCTTCCTCTCTCTGAAAATCAATAAAAACATATTTAAAGTACCTCTGCTCGTTAAAAAAGGTGAAAGTAGCCTCATCTAGCACAAAGGGGCCTCAGAGCCACTAATGGTTACCCTTTTACAGACGAAACCCAAGTCCTGGCCGATGTCAGGGGCACAGGTTTCTAAACGAAGCCCTCGGAATGGTTTAGTCTTGGCTGCCTGCTTATTCTTCCTTATCCCAGAGGCAGGCCTTGGGTGAGGAAAAGAGTTTGTGCGAGTCACTCGAGGGCTGTCACTCCACACTTGGCTTCTATTTTGGGCGTGAGATTCATTCGCTTCGCTTTGGGATCTGACTTCCTATCCTTGACCCCGAGCTCCCCCTCCACCAGGAATGTAATTACTGTGCGTAAATCTCAGGTGGGCTTCACCAATGTTTGCAGAGCAGAGGACCAGCTGGAAAGCTGTGACCACAGAAACCGCCTGGAGACCAGAGCAGCTCATACATCTCCACATTCCTGGCCTCGCTGCAGACCCAGAGGGTGACTCAGCACCGCTCCTCACCCCCCAGCGCTGGGACGGGGCGCAGAGCAAGCCCTGGAGTGCTCGCTCTGAAGGAAGGGCCGCCCAGTAGAAAGATGCCTTCTGGAGGCAGGCGTCTTTAAATGAAGGACAAGCGGAGAACCAGCAGAGAGAGCTGTGTTGGGTGTGCGTGTGGCCGCCAAGATCCTGCATGGGACTCAGCCAACGCACAAACACAGGGTCTCACGCCCCAACCAGGCCCCCAGCTGTCCGCCCCGGCTCCTGCTGGCTCTGGCTTCTCCACAGGAGCGCATCTGGGAGCCACTGGAGGGCAGGGGGAGCCGGAGGGCAGGGGGAGCAGGAGGGCAGGGGGAGCAGGAGGGCAGGGGAAACCAGCTACTAAATTCGGCACTGCACCAGCTGGGCCCTCCTCCCAGCCCCGGGCAAACTTGCTAGTTAAGTAAATGCTGGCCCAGCAGCCTCGTCCTCAGAGCCCTCCCCTCCCCTCTGTAAGTGGGTCCCTCCGGGTCAGGCCACGCTGACAGCTAACAGCAGTGGAGGCCGTGGTGTGGGAATGCTGTGACCACCCACAGTGAAGACTGTGACAAAGCTAGCTGTCGAGGAGAAACGGTCTCGCTGTCTGTACTTTCCCACGGGGCCTCGGCATCCACGCCCACAGACAGCCCGGGTGCCGCGCCGTGGGAATGGCTGCGCCGGCGGGTGCGGGGCCGCAGGAAGCTCCGGAGGGAGTCCCACCGGCTCCTCCTCCGGCTCCTTTTCGGAGCCTCGGCCTCGGCACAGTCAGTCTCAGCCATTTCTCTCCGAGCCAAAGCACAGCGCACAGGCAGCCAGAGGCACCGTCCCTCTTGGGAGCGCCATCGCATGCACCTTACTTACTGGACAGCGTGACGGCTAGGGCACTGGGAGAGCCAGTCCCAGCTACTCAGAGCGAGGACAGGAATCTCTCAGCCCCCTCCCCGCCCCGCCGGGCCTGCCAGCCCACACCCAGCAGGAGCTGCCGCCCGGCATTCGGTGGTGATCCCTGAGCACCGGAGGCTCCAGGCCCGGATCGACACCAGACACCAGGGTAGTAACTGCCACCTGTGCCAGGGAAACCGAGCCGAGCGCAGCGTGGGGCCGGCGCGGACAGGCTCTTACTGAAGCTGACGTCCTTGTGTGGCCGCTGGGACCCTGGCGGCCGGCCCGTCTCCAGCAGGGCGGCCGGCGTGCTCCCCGAGACAAACATCCGAGCAGGAGCAGGAGCAGCGGGAGCAGGCGGCCGCCGCCACCTCGGCTCACACAGGCCTCGGCCCAGCTGTGCGCAGGCAGGGCAAGGTCATGACATTGGAACCAGTGATGGCAGGACTGCGGGCGCTGCTGGGAGCTATGGGCGAGGGGAGGAGTGTGTGGCTGCAGACCCACTAGGGCAGGGCAGGCAATGGAAGCACGTGTCTCTCCAGTCCTTTGCAAAGGCTGAGCTGAGCTCTCTCTCTCACACACCCCCCCACACACCCTCTCACATTCGCTAGAGCCAAGCAGCTCTGCCCCCTGCTGGACACGGAAGGAGCCACAGTGAGACCAGCAGGGGCGAGGGGCTGGGAGGAGACAGGATGGTCTCTAGTCCTGCCTCCCATTGCTGGGAGCAGACAGGATGTCCCTGGAACCCACCTCAGGGATGTTCACATCCCAAAACTTGTTGCATCTAGTTTGGAGACCCCTCTACCTTTGGGGTAAAGGAATGGTGCTTTGTTTTCTTTAATATATTTTTACTGATTTCAGAGATAAAGAGGGAGAGATAGAAACTTCAGTAAGAATCATTGACCGGCTGCCTCTTTCTGGCATGCCCCTTACTGGGATCGAGCCTGCAACCTGGGCATGTGTCCTTGACTGGAATCAAACCCGGGACCCTTGTCTGAAGCTCTATCCACTGACCCACACCAGCTAAGGCAGAATGGCATTTTCTTAGGTGTCATCTATACCTGAGGATCAATTAAAAAGCTCATTTTATGTGAAAAAGTGATGTTCAATTTCTTAACAAGAGAAAATGCTTAGCTGTCGTGCTGTTTTAAAAACAATCTCCAAGCTCCCTGCTCTGCCTCAAGCCCTCGTCCTCGAAGGGGCCCAGTGGAGCACTGGCTGCTCACGCTCGAACCTGACCCGCCCCGGAGGCACTGCCCGCCTCGGGAGATGGAGACCAGGCAGTTCCTCAGCCTCGTCGGCCTCCACCAGCACCGACCAGGTGAGCTTCTCCGACTGCGACTGCTCAGACTTCCGTCCTCGGCACCTGCTGCTGTGCAAGGCCCCGCAGGCAGCTTCACGCAGAAGCCCAGACCTCAGTCACAGGCTCACTCCTCCAGAAGCAAAGAACCCCTCAGGGCAGCCACCCAGCCAGTCCTCAGCCCTGAGCCAAATCCCCGCCTTCCACCTGTTTTCCAGGCCCCTCCCTCCCTCGCTCCTCCCTCCCCCACCTCGTCATTCTGAACCTCAAGTCCAAAATTTTCCTCTCACAGAAAAGAAGCAGTTTGGTGTGAAAAGACCTTTATTTGGGAATGAAGAGCGCGGTGCAGTGAGTGTCCTCCACAGTGCTGGCCCCACAGCTGGACCCCGGTGACAGTTAAAATCACCAGCTTCCACTTACAGCCAAAAACACAGCAGCTTTCCCAGAAAAACCAGCTCCAGGATTGTCTCCAGAGCTCATCTGTCTAAGATCTTAAATGCCTGTAGTAGCTGTTCATTAGGTCGCCGTGTCTGACACACCACAGTCTGTAGATTTCATCTCGGCTAAGTTTTCTTATGAAATACCCTATTTTTGCTCTCCTCATAAATAGACAAAAATGACCAAACATTACGAACACCTTCTTCATGGTTTACTGATATTTACAGAGAAAAGTCAATAATCAGAACTCACACTTGCAATCTATACATTAAATTATAAGTAATCAAACCCCTGCTACAAAAGCTATCTATGTTGACCCGCGATAGAAACTGTCTACAGAGTTTAAATACGAGAAATTACAAAAGAAGAAACTGGAATCAGGGAGGGCCTTCCGGTGAAGCTAGAAGAACTCCCCCACATCTGCTCTCTTGTCGCGACACTTGCTCCGAGCTTTCGTTCTCGCTTTGAAGGCTGCAGAATTGTACAAATGCTGGAATGGAGACAGGAAAACACGTGTGACCCACAGGCTTAGAAAGTCTTACAAAATGTTACAAAACAAGGGAGAAATGAACTAACCTGACCCTATAAGTATCTTATGTTTATAAAACACACACATACAAAAAGAACAAGGGGGAAATCAAACACCTATGATAGTGACTATCTACATTAAGAAAATTCCAGTGAAAAGAGTGAAAAACGAAGAAAGTGCATCAACGCTGAATCTGATCAAGGAAAAGTCAAATCATGAACTAATGTGGAAAAAATTCCAACGATGCTGTCCGTCACAAAACTTAAGACGAAGCTCCATTTTAACGCCAAGCAGACTGACAGCGCTTCACCCCATGCAGCCCCTGCCGTGGAGTGTGGCCGCTCAGTGATCTGGCACCAAAGCAGCACTGTGTTCAATTTATTCTTAAATAAAAAACTTCACACAGCGCCTAAGCTAGGATAACAGGATAGGGCGAGAAGTCCCGCCTCTGGAGCCTGGCCTGTGGCAGGGAGAACCGCCCAGCCCGCCGAACCCACCGCCGGCAGCACGGGCGGGCAGCCAGGGCCTGGAACAGAGCAAAACCTACCCTCTCAAACCGGGAGATCTTCATCGTCTTCAGCGTGGCAGCGTCGAGCATCACCGGGGGTCCCAGCTCAAACACGTGGCGGAGGAACTCGTTCGACTTGGGTCAAAGGAAAGGGGACAGGCTGGTTAGCGCCAGCTGTTCAGTACAGGAGGCGGGCCGAGGGCAGGTGAGGGTCACCACTGCCCTCTCCCGCGGGGACCCGGCTCCCCAGGCCTCGAACCTGGCGCTACGCCCACTGTTTCCACCAAGATCTCACTGCTCCCGGGGGACAGGGGCGCAGGGACACGTTCCCTGTCACTGCGTGCCACCCTCCCATGCTGCGGAGCCACGCTTGTCCACGCCGAGCATCCCGCACTCACTAACCTCACCCCCTCAGCAGCCCCTCCCCAGCTCCCACTGAAGGCCGCAGCGGCCTCACCTGCAGGTGGTACTGCATGCCGGAGCCCAGCACCTCCTTGAACGTGTCGTAGGTGTGCTTTTTGACCCAGCAGTCGATGTACATGCGCTCAGGACCAAACTTCACCGTCTCTGTGGGGAAATCCCGATCCTGGCCAAAGGAAAGCCAGACTTGTAAGAGGAAACGACAGGCTGAAGAGACCCCACACCAACACGGTTCCACACACACACACACACAGCACCAGAGGACTGCGGTCCACAGTCAGACGGCCTTTACCCAACAGCGCGCCTTCTCGGCCCCAACCTTGCCAGGCCACGGGCTGCCGGGCAGACGCAGAGGCCAGGGCGGGCTGGAGCAGGGACTACAGCTTTAGGGTCCTGTTAAAACGCTGGATTTTATTCAGCTTTTAGCACCTTCCAGCTACGGAGGGGAGGCGATACTTTGCCATTCACACAAAAAAAGACGACACTAAGGATGTTTGTGCTAAGTACCATTGCTTACGTCATGGCCAAGCACACCCAAGGGAAATAACTTCTATCCCTAGGAAAATTTGTAACTGCTTAAACTTGATAAAGGAAACCTTTACACGTCAGAATAAATTTCTGTTGGAAAAGTAGAAGTTCTGCCTGGCCGGTGGTGCTCAGTGGTTGAGCATCGACCTAGGACCCAGGAGGTGACGGTTTGATTCCTGGTCAGGCCCAGGCCCGGGCTGTGGGCTCGGTCCCTAGTAGGGGGTGTGCAGGAGGCAGCTGATCAGTGATTCTCTCGCATCACTGATGTCTCTCTCCCTCTCCCTTCCTCTCTGAAATCAATAAAAACATATTTTTAAAACGGAAGAAAAACGGAGGAAAGCCGCTCGGTAGTGGCAGAGAGAACTGTCTGGTCACAGGCGGGCCCGAGGCCCACGCCCGGGCGGGACCGGCCGGCGCGCTCACCTCCACAGCCCGCAGCACGTCCCGGAACACGGACCGCTGCTTCCGCTTGTCCACTTTGGCCCGGTGCTTGTTGCCGTCGGTGGCCAAGGCCCGGAGCATCTCGGTCAGAGACTCCATGTCCTCGTACAGGAAGTCCTGCGGAGACACGGGTTAGTGTGACCGCTCCTCCCGCGTCCCCGGAGCCGCCCAAACTGGAGGCTCTGTGGGTCTGGGCACAGAATCAGCTTCCGTCTCACGCAGCACGTAACCCAGAATCCTGGCCACCAGACGGCAGAGCCACTCAACAACCAGACCCCCCCACATCGGTGCACCCGGAGAGGCTGCGCCTGCGGCACCAGCCGCGCTGGGCTCCGGCCGGCGGGTCAGGCTCCCGCGCATCAGTGTATCCTGTGTCCTTTCTCCCCACGCTCCCGGAGCACACGTGTGCATCAGTGTATCCTGTGTCCTTTCTCCCCACGCTCCCAGGAGCACACGTGTCCATCCCCACGCTACGCAGCCCAGGAGCCTTTAGAGCTCCTATGTATGCCGCCCTGGCAGGTTCCAAACGGGCAGGAAGCATCGACTCCGGCACAGCCCGGGGACCACACGCGACGGAAGGTGTTCAGCCCCGCTGGGCGGAGTCTTCACCGATCACGAGGGGCTGCTCGGAGCCGACGGGGCCCGGGGCAGTGTCCGTGGCTGCCCTTCCAGCAGCCTCTATTCCGTGGTTTGTTTTTATTGTGAATCCTGTCTCCCGTGTCCCCTCTCCTCCCCTGCCACCTGCGTGGTGTTCTCACCCCCCACTGTTTTACAGCCACGTTAAAGACTGAGAGAAGAGCGAAGTCATCGAAGACCGAGGCGAGAGCAGACACAGGGGAGACGCGGGCGCCCAGCTCCGGCTCTGAGTGCCGGTCAGCTTTCCTAAGGCGCAGTGATAACCATTAACGTCCCATTGAGACAAGCGGCTCTTTTCCTGGGCATTCTTTAAACGGTGTCTGTAACTGTTTAATCTCCAAAGTATAAATGTGATTCCTTTTAATATCCGGAATGAAAAAGAACATTACACTGCTAGAAAATGAAGCTGAAACTAAAACAACAGATATTCTAACTTGCAAGCACATAAATATTTTCTTATTGTCGATATTTTAGACATCGAATATCATCAACCGTTCTAACAAATGGTCTCTTCAAATGTTCCAATTCAGCCTCCTATGTCTGAGTTAGCTGGAGAACACACCCATTAAGACCCGCATCTAGAGAAGCAATTACAAAGCGGATGAGGCAGGAAAGCAGATCAAAGGTCTATTGATCTGTTGTAAATCCCAATAAATCCGACTCCATCCTAACCAGACGGAAGCAGTCTTGCTTGCAGGAGAGAGTACATTCAAGCACCAGCAGTTTCCCACATAGATCATTG